CAGTCCCACTCGGGGCTGGAGTCAGGTGGGGACGGACGGGGACGGGCGGGGATGGAAGAAGAGAGCACCCCAGCTCGGACGGCTCACGGTGCTTTCAGGAAGGTATGTGGACATGAGGGCATTCCACTCCTCCCGCCGAGGAAGTGTGGACTCCCAGGACCAACGGCAGACGCTGGCTACGTTTCAGAGATGGTGCTCGAGGGCGGCAGCCAGGCCCTGGCACGCTCGGATGCTCCCTGCGTGGAGACACTGGGCCCGGACGGCCCCGTGGTGAAGCCTGGTTCCCCACCGCCCTTGACTCCTTTCAGCTCCGAGCGCCTTGCAGATGACGTGGAGAGGCTTCCCGGGCTACCTCCTTTCATGGGAATTTCAACCAGAAAGACAAGGACTTTTACTTAGAAAACCATGTTGGACTCTATCCCGCCTCCACATGTGAGATACTCCTTTCTACTTGGTTTTGGTCCTGTGCCTAGCCCTGGAGATTTGCGGTGAATAGGGCAGTGTTTGCCTGCAGGTCGCCCTCGGTGTAGACAGGCGTTAGACTGGAAGGCGGTGTAGACAGGCGTTAGACTGGAAGGCGGTGCTCTGCTCTGAGCTTACTTGCCAAGGCATGGAGGCTGAGTCAGCACCCCAGAACTTCCCGGCATAACACGCGGCGTTTGTGACCTCGCAGTTTCTGTGGGCCGGGAGTTCGCGAGTGGCCAGTCGGGCTCTGAGACACGGTCTTTTGAGATGGCTCTTGGGCTATGTCATCTGAGGGTGGAGAGTGGGAGGCTAAGGCCGAGGGCCCGAGGACTGGGCCTCTCTGCCTGTTGGCAGGGGACGCTGCCAGATGGGCATGCCAGATGGACGCCACCTTCCACACAGACCTCATCACAGCGACGCTCGGCGCCTTCCCGGGGCAGCTGGCCTCCCGAGTGAGGCCCTCAGGGCAAGCGCCGGGGAGGCCGCAGTGCGGGAGCAGTTCCCCGCTGTGCTGGGTTCATCCACGGTGAGCCGCCACACGGAGCCCGACTTCTCCGTGGAGCACAGCAGCATCTTCACGAATAGTTTAAGAGCCCGGAGCAGGTAGAGCTAGGTGGGACTCAGAAGGCTGAGCTTATGCACTCCGGGCAGCTGAGGCCATGCCTCTGGACGGCGTTTGCAGCTCGGAGAGGCCAGGCTGCAGTGGGCCCTCGCTGCCATGGTGGTCAGAGAGGTGGCAGCACGTTCGTGGGTGGCCCTGGGGTCTCTGTTCTGTTAGCTCAGTGGCCAGCAAGTGCTGGAACAGGGTGTCCTTCAGTGTCTGGGACAGTTTGTCTCTTAGTCTTGCCGAGGTGGGTGCCATGTGCCAGGGCAGGCCTTCATCCCCAGGTGGGCGTCACGGCCCACCTTTGCTTCCCTGCCTGATGGTGCAGAGGTCGAGGGCTGCCGGGCTGAGGGCTGTAGGCCGGGGGTCTGTCCCAGGCGCACACGGCCCTGGGCACCAGCAGGACCTTCTGGAGCCCAGGACAAGCTGGGCTCTCCGCTGCCTGCTAGGATGCCGCTGTCCAGCCCTTCCTCGAGGACGTCCGGCTGGTGGCAGGCTCTGCTGCCGTCTCAAGGAAGGCCTGGTCCCGTGCCTCCGACAGTTCTCAGCGGTGTCTCCGTGGAGAAGGCAGTTTGTCCAGAGCATAGGAAGCTGGGGACTGAAGGCAGGTCTTGCAAATGGGCCTTTCTAGGGAGTCCAGAAGGTAAATAGGGACAATGTCCAGGACCTGCCCATTCCTGGTGCTGCTCAGGGGACTTCTGGGAAGCTAGTTCTCGTGGGGCGGGGTGGGGGGTGCTACGACACCAGCACCACAGAACCTGGGAGTGGAGCTGCAGGAGGGAGCCCACGGCCCCTGGCATTTGCTCATCTCAGTCAGATAATGCTCCTGGCAGCTTCAGTTCATGCCCAGGGCTCAGAAACGTTGGCCAGGCCTGTTTTCGCCTGTGTCCGCAACGACTTCAAGCGCAGGGCTGGCAGGGACTCTTGCTCTGCCTTGTCTTGGACACCAGCCCCTCAGCAGGAGGATAGGCGACAGCTGCTGTGTGGGGCAGGACGAGGGCAGGCCGTGAGCGATGGCCGCGAGCGCTGCGGGGGTCCCAGAGGAGCAGGAGCAGCGTGTAAGGTGGAGACGGGGTCATGGGGCCTGTCTGCCGTGTGTGTGCACATGTGTGCACGCGTGTACTCCGGCCAGCTCTGCAGAACAGGTGTGGATGCTCAGAACGAAGACAGTGAATGGCAGGTTGGGGTGGACTGAGCAGGAAGGAAAGGGCAGTGGGGCAGAAGCCGTGGAAAGTCACGTCGGTGAGAAAGGGGAAGGAAGGATGGCGGGTGTGAGAGTGAGCTTGTGCAGGAGCCAGTGGAGCTGGAAGGGACAGCGGCGGGCAGACAGTGATACTGACATGGGCCCGACAAGGTGCGGTCTCGGCTGACTGAGCCGGTGTGGCAGTCCCACCGGAGAAGCGAGGTTGTGCGTGTGTCTGGCTGCAGCTCTGTTGGGGCTGGCAGCACACCCACCTGGTGGAGAGGTCTGGGGAAAACACAAGATGGATGTCGCAATGGGAGCAGTCAGTGCAGAAACTCTCCTGGGCGCAATGCCAACAGGAGCCAAAGTTCAGCAGTTGCTCAGAGTGAGGACGCCCCGCCGAGGGACGGTCTGCGAAGTTAGGGTGTGTGGGGCGAGCCGCAGGGCGTGGAGGAGGAAGGGCAGGGCCAGGCAGACTGTCTGGACAGCGGGTCCGGTGGGTCTGTGCAGAAGGCCAGGAGCAGAGCGACCACAGTGAGGGCTGGAGGTGGAGACCCACTGGGAGCCCAGGAAAGCTGCTTCCCTGAAGGAGGACGCGGGAATGCGAGTCTGGTGTAGAGGGAGCAGGCCCGGGCTGCTGCAAGGGGAGTACTCCATGGAGCAGCGCTGCCGTCCCAGCAGCAGGAAGTGAAGGGCATACGAAGTTTGATGTCATTGACTCTAATCCTGTGCCATGAAGCAGGGCTGTAATTGATTCCCCATTTGTCAGCAGAATGCTTACATATTCCAGATTAAATAAGAAATCAGTGTTTGAGTGGTAGGATCTTTGCAGTATTGGTCTCAACCATATATTAAAACGTTTGAAAATGGAATTTACTCACAGTCCTTCCGAGACTTTCTGAATGTTTGAGTTGCTTTATTTAAAATAATGCTGGGAGGGTAAGGGATGGCTGGACTTTTCAGTGCTTTGTGTAAGGACACGCAAAGGGTTCTAGACACCTGGGAGTGTCCGGGCCGGCCGGGCCACCTTCCTGGCACTGTCTGGCAGGCTTAGGCTTGACTTCCCTCTGGTGGCCGATGCCATGACGCACAGCTGGGCGCCGGCTCGGGGATCCTTGGCACCGAGGGAGAGGCCTGGTGTATGTGCCCCTGCAGGCCTGACAGGAGCTGGCACCTTTTATGGACTTTGTCCCTAACCCTGAGGTGGCTTGTTAGAGGCCTACATCCGGTGTTTCTCCTAGTCTGAGTATTAAGGAACAGTAACCCACACAGTGGATGCACCTCCACGTGTCCCCACGTCAGTCGTGACCTTGTTCATCGAAGCTGTGAGGTCACACGCTTCCATGATGTGACCTTCCCTACCAGGCACGTGGGTATGGCATAGACGCTTTTGAAGAAATTATATTTTCATACCCAAATTTGCTTTCCAAATGCTCGTGTTTTGGCCAACGTTAGCGTGTGCGCTGCGTGAGCGCCCGTGCCTCTTGTGAAGACAGTACGGGGGAGAAGCCGTGATTTTCAGTGGTTTTCCTAACATCTGCATGTTCTGTGTTTAGAAAACTGGGCATTGACTCCTGCCAGTAAATTCTAGAATACAGTGTAAGGTTTTATTTGCAAACGCCTGCCTTACTGGAGGGAAGGTGCTACGGGGAACTTTGTCCTTTCCCCAAAATAGTCTCCAGACGTGTACGGCTCGAGCCCACTGCTCTGTCCCTTGGATTCATTTTGGGAGATTCTCAACTGCGATTTAAGAAAGGAATAGACCAGTATGTTTGTTGAGGAAATACAGAGCGAAAATTGGACTCTTCTGTTTGTGCTGCTGTTATTACCGTTTAGTGTTGTAGCAGTGAGGACTCGTTTTCAATGGCGGTGACCGCGCTGAGTAGCAGAAGCACTGACAGTGTTTTCTCGGGGAGTGGTTTACTACCCCGCCACTCCAGGCATACGCAGCTACAGCCTTGGGAGTGTTTTACCCTTCACCATGAGGTGTTTTCCTCTGGTTCGGAGCCAAGGCCTGGCCTTGGAGGTGAGCCGCAGGTGGTGCCAGCTGTGCGCCCCCCCACCCCGGCCATCAGCGAAGAGCGCGTGCGGGGTCCCGCCGGCTGCAGCCCAGTTCTGCTCGCCGCCTGCGTCGGCCAACCCCGCTGACGTGTAGCCCGGCCGTGCCCTGACCGGCGCCCTGTGGAGCCTCCCGGATTAGTTCTCAGTCCCCATTTGGTCTTGCCCAGTCAGCCGTTAAGCCGATACTGACCGCCTGTCATTGACCTGGTCTTGCCGGATGGTAAAGGGGAACGGTGGGACCTGCCTGAGGCAGGACAGGAGGGCGGCCGCTGCCTGGGGCAGCCCCAACCCTGCACTGGCCCATGGTCGCTGAGTCCCCTCCTCCTGATCTAACCCAGATCTTAGCTGAGTGACCCTCGTCCCCCCAAGGGCTTGGCTCCTCGTGGCCACCCTGACCCCAGTGCAGGGCTTCGCTCTGGCTCGCTCAGTCCCCTGTGACATTCCCTCGGATGCCGTCCCTCTGCATGGTCCGACCCTGATGCGGCCCCACCCCAGACAGCAGCGGCCACTGCAGGTTGCAGCAGGCTGTGGGCCAGAGGCTCAGTGCCGCGGGGCACGCCCAGACTTCCTTGGGGCTTCTCCTGGCTCGCAGCCTCCCCTGTCTCCACATGACTGTCACTCCTGCTTGGAGCACTCGGGCCTGTGGCCCACCTCCCTCCCGGTGACCGCCTGTCCCCTCCTTCACAGCCCCCCGAGCCGAGGTGAGCAGTGGTACAGGGGAGAGGTTCCGGATCTTCCGGGCCGAGAAGACCTACGCGGTGAAGGCGGGCCGCTGGTACTTCGAGTTCGAGGCCGTCACTGCCGGGGACATGCGTGTGGGCTGGAGCAGGCCGGGCTGCCAGCCGGACCGGGAGCTGGGCTCGGACGAGCAGGCCTTCGCTTTTGACGGCCTCAAGGTGAGTGCACCACCAGCCCCCAGAGGGCCCACCTGCCCTCAGTCTTCCTCCTGGTGGTCACCAGGCCCAGCAGCTGGGCTTACAGCCGTCCCGGTCGGGCCTTCACCCCCACGGTCCCCAAGCCCTTGCCCACCACGGAGACCCGTCAACTCACCTGCCAGTCCCCGCTTCTCCACGTTACCCGGAAGCTTCGAGATGTGGGGGAGAGACGTGTGGCCGACCGCAGTCCCGTGCAGGGAGAAATGGCCCTGGGTGTGTGTGCACGTGTGGGTGTGCTCGGGCCCCCAGGCCAGGGCCTGGCCACGGTCACCGTGTGGAGCCCGGCTTTGCTTGAGCAGTACCCCCCTGTGCCACAGAGCTGGCCCTTAACACTTAATCTTGGTCAAAAGTAGAAAACTTCACGGGACCAGCAGTTAGCGTAATGACTATGTCGCTGGACTCCCACGTAGTTGACCGCGGTTTGCGTCCCGGACCTAGTGGCTTAAAACTCACGCTGGGCACGTGTGCGTGTGTGCCCAAGATCCCAAAAGGAGAACAGAGGAGAAGGGATCGCGGTGTGACCATCCCCCTGGGGGGTGATTTCTCGCTTTATGTCTCTCTGTCTCTCTGCCTGTCTGGAGAGCACACGCGCCCTATAGCAAAAACCTCTCCAAAAAAAAAAAAAAAAAGTAGAAAACTTCACCTAAACTTCAAAATGTGGAAGAACAGAGGAGTGTTGGCCTCTCCCCGAAGGTCAGGTGGGATGAGGCGAGTCGGGGCGCCCAACCTCCTCCAGTCAGGCTAGGCAGGCATGGGCTGGAGGGCCCACCACAGTGCGTGCTGCTGCCTGGGCTCCAGACGTGGAGGACAGAATTAGCGACATCTGTGAAAGCCGCGTCTGGGAGAAGAATCCGACTGCGTCCGTCCCCACCGCCTCGCAGCGAGGGTGCTCGAGCACAAGTCACAGCGTCGTAGCTAACTTGGGACCGCAATTCAGTGGACAGGCCGTGGACTCAAAAGTCGGATTTACCAAACCTGAGTTTCAAATAGACTCACAGTGCGAGATGTCATTTAGGTGCGCAAGGAAAGCCTGCCCTCAGCACTGTTTGTGGCTTGTTATCCCCCAGACGGTTTCACATTTTCCGTTTGACTGGAAGCGTTTTTGATTTTAGCACACGACTGAAATGCTCCCAGCTTCCCGTGTCGTTCAACTGTCAGTGCGGTTGTTGGGTGGGAATTTTATTCTGAAGTCGATGACAGCATGTCCCCCTCAGTGACGGGGCCAGCTTGGCCGCTGGCTCACGGTCCTTGCATTTGCAGGAGTAGGGAGACAGCCCTACCTGGGAAACATTCCCTGGTTTCTATTTAATGGAAAGTTCGTGAGGTTAAGCTTTTAAAGTAGTAGATGCGCAACATCACAAAATAGCAGGTGGGTTTTTTCCAGATTCATGAATACGTGGGGACTTCACAAAGTTTGTGGGAAATGGAATCAACGTTCGAGTTTGTTCGGCCCTAAAAGCGCTGCGGTCCCTGAGTGGTTCCCATGAGCCTCCCAGATGGCGGCGGGCCCTCTGCCGGGTCACTCGGGCCAGCGCTTCAGGCGGCCCTGTGTGCTCGGCCTTGGCCGGCTGCATCGCCCGAAGTCCTCCGCCGCAGCCCAGCGCGTGGCCGGGAGAGCGGGTGGCCCTGACGCTCTGTCCCGCACAGGCTCAGCGGTGGCACCAGGGCAGTGAACACTATGGGCGCCCGTGGCAGGCGGGAGACGTGGTGGGCTGCATGGTCGACATGGATGAGCACACCGCGGTGTTCACGCTCAACGGCGAGGTCCTGCTCGACGACTCTGGCTCTGAGCTGGCGTTCAAGGACTTCGACGTCAGGGACGGTGAGTATACTGCCCTGCCCTTCCCATGCGTCTTCGCCTCAGGGTGAGTGAGCTGGGGGCGAGGCGGAAATGCAGGGTGCCCTGGAGCTGCTGGGTCAGGAACGTGGGCTGTGCTGCTCGGCCGGGTGCGGTGACTTTAGGGGGTGGGCAGGACAGCTTTGCACAGCCTGACATGTGCAGTGGTCACCTGTCACTGAGAACTCTCAGCCTCTCAGCTGCTCACGGCTTCCATTCGTGCCCTGGCGGAAAGGGAGGGGCCACCTGCCCACACCAAGGAGACCGGGAAGGAAGTCCTGTCCCCTGCAGGTAGAAAGGCTGGCCAGGGCAGGTCGGCATGCCAGCTGCCCTTCCGCCCAGGGGACACGTGCCAACACACAGAACTGCAGGAAGCTCTGCGGGCCACAGTGCAGGCAGCGCGCACGCCGGCCAGCCCCAGATAGCCCCAGAGCAGCTTGTGCAGGAAGACAGTGTGCTGCCACTTCCGGGGAGGTGTCTGTCAGCAATACTGTCCTTCCTGTGTGGGGGCCGCCGAGCGCCGCTCGGTCATGGAGATTAAATTCAGGGAAGAACTGGGTCGTCAGAACAGCCTGTTCCCAGGGACCTGGACCTACAGATGCGAGTGTCGCTCCCTGGGACGGTGCCAACCTGGAGCAGCCCCTGCAGAAGGCTGCCTGGTGTGTGCGTGGGGACGGTGTGTAGTAGAGCATGTAGAATTGCACCATGGACGTGTGTGTGTCTGTGGGGCGATCGTGACTCTGCTTGTGCGTGTGGTCTGAGATCTGAGATGTCCCCTTGGGTGTGTTTAATGGCCCGTGACTGTCACCGTCTCAGAGCTTCGCCAGCCTGTTGCCTCGGTTAAGTGCCGTACGTGTTGGCTTAGTGGCTTTTCAGCAGCTGTGACCACTGACCACTGTCCCCAAACACCGTGTGCAGAGGCAGTAGGGGTGTCGTGCTGCGGAGCACAGGCAGAGCCAGTAAGGAAAGTGATGGGAAGGCGTGAGTAGGCATCCACGGAAGCCCTCCCACGGCCACGAGGCTGGTCACACTTGTGGTGGGAGCGCGATCCGTCCTGCTGGTAGTCCTTCGCAGCCCCCGGGATAGCCGAGCCACGAGGGGGAGCTGCCCCGGGCAGAGGCCCATGCTGGGGACACTGCCGGGCTGTGGATGGAGTGTCTCGCCCAGCCCAAAGACCTCCTCCAGCTTCTCAGACATCCAGGTGTCTCTGCAGGAGGTGTGCAGGGAAGGGTGAGGAGCCCAGTCCTCGGTGCCACCGTGTCTCAGCACCACCAAGTCCTCAGGCCACCTCGTCTCATTGTCACTGCGTCTCAATGCCACTGTATCCTCAGTGTCACCGTGTCTCAGCGCCGTGTCTCGGTGCCACCGTGTCTCAGTGCCACCGTGTCTCAGTGCCATGCCAGAAATGCACTCTTGCAGGGTAGGACGAGTGCACCAGGTGCCGCAGTGGACTGTAACAGTGTGACTATTTCAGGGAAGGAAGCAGGTCCCCAAGAAAGCCATGGTGGCAGGATGATGTCCCCACTTTGTTCACAGCTGCTCTCTGGGACTCGTGGCTGTGCTGCGTCCACGGAGAAAGACTTGCCAACGGGACTGAGGTGCTGGTCGAGATGGGCCGTCCGGCAGCCCCAGCGTAGTCAGCAGGGCCTCTGCAAGGAGCACGGAGGGGAGGGTGTGAGACAGGAGGAGACCGGGAGAGAGGCGAGGAAAGCAGCAGAGTGGAGGCTGGCCAGAGCTTTCAGGCATCTCCAGAGAAGGCAGGACACGGGCCCTCCCAGAGCCCAGATCCTCAGAGGAGCTCGACTCTGTGGACACTGACTTCAGCCTGGGTACCCCATGTTGGACTCCTGACCCTCAGAACGTAGACCGAGGCCTTCTCTGTGGAAGCCACCACGTTCCTAGTAACTTGCTGCAGCAGCAAATGTGAGGCGGAGACGGTGACATGCCACACGTTCCCACTTCTGTAGGAGATACGAACAAGATGTAAACATGTAGTTTGACCACGCAGTTAAGGACAATATGAGAACGTCGGTTTTCAGGTTCGAGGGGAGAGGCGGCGACCGGGAGGGTGCAGCGCAGGCTCCTGTGATGGGCTGGGGCCTGTGGTGTGAGCGGCGGGCCCTGGAGCAGAGCTTATGAGGGACACCCAGTCAGCACAGTGGGTGGTGGGTGTCGTGGGCAAGGGTTCTGAAGAGCCCATGGCCCTGTCTCTGCAGTCGAGAGCCTTAGGGAGGACCCGGGAGGTCTGTAAGCAGGTGTGTGGCCTTCGAACGATCCCAGCGAAGGGGTAGGGATGGAGGTCCCAGAGGTGGCCCCTGACAGCTAGGGTGTGGGCAGCGGTCTGTCCCCAGAGCTTGTGGGGTCCTGCAGAAACGTGCATGTTGGGGCGTGGCCGCATGGGTGCCACATGGAGGCATCGGGGGACCACGCTCCTTCGTGGTGTCCGGGGAGGCCTGGGGGCATTGCACTGCGGAGGGAACCATCCTGTGAGAAGATCTGTGGCCTCACGTGGGCCCTGATGGAGCCTCGCGAGTGGAGCTTCATTCTCAGGAGAGCTGCGTGCCCCAGCAGAGGGCAAGGGCTGTCCCCTCCATCCCTTCTGCCTGCCCCAGCAGAGAGCCCCCTCTCAGTGCTTCTGCTAGGCTCTGCGGGCCTGGGTCTGCGCGCCCCATCTCCAGGACATGAGCTGTGAAGACAAGCCATGTCTGCACTGTACGACTCCTGGCTTGGGTACCTCTGTGGTGACAGCGTGGCCCTGGGCGGGGCTGTGCTCTCCCACACAGACGCTGGGCTGGCCACCAGGGCAGCCTCCCTACCAGCAGCACACGTGTCTGGGCGGCCCGCAGGGTGACAGCCCGTCTCCCCTGGGCTCCTCAGCCGTCCGCGGCGCAGGAGCCGCCCAGTGGCCCACACATGCCAGAGTGCCTCCTGTGCCTCCTGTTGTGGCCATTCTAGGATTTCTGACAGAAAATGCCAGAAACCAGCTAGTTTATAAGAAAAGAGGTTTATTCTGCTCATGGTTTGAAGGGCTGGGTCCAGGGCCATATGGGTGAGGGCCCGGCTGCGTTACGTGGTGGAGGGCAGGAATCCGTGTGTTCGGGGCCCACCCTCACCCCTAGTCCTCATTACCTCCCAGAGCCCCGCCCTTCACACCATTATCGGGGTGAGGTTTTGCCTCTTTTTTTTTGGACAGAGATTTTTACTATAGGGTACATGCACTCACTAGAGAGACACAGAGAGAGAGTGAGAAATTACTTCCCTGAGGGGGATGGCCACACCGCAGTCCTTTCTTCTCCGTTCTCCTCTCGATTTGGGGCATGCATGTACATGTGCCCTGTGTGAGTTTCAGGCCGCCAGGTCTGGGACCAGAACCACAGTTGGCCATGTGTGAGTCCAGCACTTTAACCACTCTGCCACCTGCTGGCTCCATGCTCTCACCCTCTTAATCCCATCACCACCATCTCCAACACATGAACTTTGGGGAGACAGTGAACAACTCTCCGTCCTTCCCTGGACGCCGTCTCAGAGGGGAGCGGTCCTGATCAGGAATCTACTGGTACAATAAAGCCATGTCCCACTTCATTTCTACAGTTACTCTGTGAGACGGCTTTTCCTAGCTTTGCTGTTGTGGGCGTAGGGCTGTGTGGTCCACCCCGACGTGGGGATAGGGCTGTGTGGTCCACCCCGACGTGGGCGTAGGGCTGTGTGGTCCACCCCGACGTGGGCGTAGGGCTGTGTGGTCCACCCCGATGTGGGTGCAGAACTGTGTGGTCTACACCGATGTGAGTGTACAGCTGTGTGGTCTATACCAATGTGGGCGCACAGCTGTGTAGTCTACACTGATGTGGGTGCAGAACTGTGTGGTTTATACTTACCACACCCTTTGTACCCTCATCTGAAATATCGTGGCAGATAGACAATTTGCTGGACAGGTGTGGCCTATCCAGAGAGGGGTTTTCCATGTGGTACCATCCCGCACAGTCACCTGTTGACTTCACCGTGACCCTGTCCCTGTATCACTCTACACCCTGCTATCGTGACACAGAGTGAGAGAGGGACTTGTTACCGAGAATGACCTGTTACAAACAGGCAGAGGCGGCTCCTGTGGGGGGAGAGCCCAGGCTTCTCGGTCCTTGGGTGACTTAGAGTGGTGGCCTGTCTGCACTCGCTAGCTGAAACTGGAGGGTTGGAGGGTATATAAGCATGGAAAATGGGTATGGATGCCGGATACAGTGTGAGGAGAAGATGGGAGAAGGGGGGAGTCTGAGGAAAGAAAGCAACTAGAAAAATAGAGAGGCGAGATGCGTAGGGGACCCAGAAACGGGCCATTGCCTGTTGATGGGAACATGTGCAGCATCCCCGACTGCACTGGTGTGATGCGTGTTCATCTTTGCCTGTTGATGGGAGTGTGTGCATTGTCCCCGACTGCACTGGTGTGATGCGTGTTCATCTTTGCCTGTTGATGGGAGTGTGTGCATTGTCCCCGACTGCACTGGTGTGATGCGTGTTCATCTTTGCCTGTTGATGGGAGTGTGTGCATTGTCCCCGACTGCACTGGTGTGATGCGTGTTCATGTTTGCCTGTTGATGGGAACACGTACATCGCCCCTGACTGCACTGGTGTGATGCGTATTTGTGTTGATGGGAATGCGTACAGCATCCCCGACTGCACTGGTGTGATGTGTATTCGTGTTCACTTGTTGATGGGAATGTGTACAGCGTCCCTGACTGAGCTGGTGTGCTGCGTGTTCATGTTGGGAAATTCAGTTTACCAGCCAAGTGATACATAGTGATTGAAATATAGAAGTGTAAGAGAAATCAGAATAAAATAAGATATATTGAAAAATCCCAAAGGGCGCATTGAAGATCATCTTGCCCTGCTTCTTACAATCCTAGAGGCCCCCGGAATTGAGAGCAGGGGTCTGGCGTGACAGTCTCCTCTTACTTTCCCTCTTGGCCTCCTTGTCCCACGTTCCGGTACCCGACAGGCCGAGGGACCTTAAAGCCAACCTGCCCAATGACATCTCAGCTGTCTCCTCGCCTGGAAGAGCAGACTTCATCTTAGTGCTCCGTGGGGAAGGGGGTCTTTCATCTGCACACAGTAGGCCAGTGTCACCCTTCCTTCTCCTGTCCCCAAGTAGGCATTTACATTGGTGTGTCTTGGCGTCTGCCCCGGGCGCGGCTCGAGCTAGGAGGAAGCAGAAAGAGACAGACAGACAGACAGACAGAGTACAGCGGACACAGGCGCTTGAGCCTGAGCAGCCCGAGCAGCGTGTGCCGCCCAGACAAACTGCGGCGTTACTTACAGGGCAAAGTGACACTACATACGTGTATTCCATGACATTCCACAGAGGCATTTCCATGTTACAGACAATAGAAGCAGGTAACTAATCCATACGGGCTTGGGCATCCTGGGCCGGGCATATCCTTGGCGATAATCCCATCAAGGAGAAATCCATTACACTTCCTCTCTAGTGGAGAGAAGCTGCTGCAGGTGTGGGAGGATACGTCTTTAAAACATAAAAGGGGTGTTGAGGAGGCTCAAGAACCTCGCCATAGGGCAGGCGCCACCACACCGAGAAGGCTAAGGCATCTCACAGACGCTGGGCGGGCACCGGACTTTGCTAACTGGGGTCCGGATGTTTCCTGAACCTCATCAGAGTTGTCTGTTGAAAGGCCCCTAACAAATTCTATCCTCTGCTCAGCCTGTGGTGAGGGTCAAGGAAAGGACAAGCTGCAAGGTCCTGCCACAGCCCACGGGAGTGGTGGTGTTCACTCAGCACGTCCCCACACCTCAGGCCTGTCTCTGCACATGTCCCTGTAGGTGTGACCCTAGACGATCTTTATCTGTTCCTGGCCACTTGCACACGGGGTCCCTCTTTAGACATTGACGTTGGAATCGCACCCTTCGGGAAGCTGCTGTCTGTGACCTGCTCTGCCCCCTTGAGTCATGGCCCCAACCCCAGCCTGCGTTGTGCCCCCACGTCCCCGGGTCGCTCAGACCCTCATCTGGTCCTGCCTCTCAGCGTGTGCCCTCCTGCTGGTGCAGGACATGAACATGCTGACTGAATGGCGAGGCTGGAATTTCAGAAGTCAGAGTATCATTTACATTTCACTGCACTCTATTTCATTTAAATGAAGATGAGAAAAACAGGAGATTCTACCTGGGGATGTCCTCGCGTAACTCTACTTTTTATAAGGGACCAAAATAGCAAAGTTTCAGTGGGACACCACCCACTGGGGTCACTGCCACATACTCAAGAAAAAAAAGCCTGAGATTAGTTACATGCCGTACGAGGAACATCTTTGTCACGTATTTGGAAAATACAAAGGTTACAAAAAATGGCAAAAATTTATATATTCCCACTACTCATAAAAAAAAAAAAAACTTCAGAAAGTTTTGTTTTTGTTTAATTTATTTTGCTATAGAGCACGTGTGCTCACCAGAGAGACAGAGGGACAGAGAGAGGGAAAGTGAGTTCGCACCTCCAGGTGCTGCACGGCCCCCCTCTCCTCGGCTTTTCCTCTCGGGATTTGGGCACACACACAGATGTGCCTGGCATGTCTTTCAAGCTGCCAGTTGGCCAAGTGAGATCCAGCCACCTTAACCATTGTGCCACTGGCTGGCTCTAAATGTTTAACTGTAAACACTAAAACAATTAAATTGTAAACTTTTTAATTGCATTTTCCTTCTATTTAAAGAATTTAGGTGTTTTAAAAAATAACTTTCCATTGCCTCTCTTTTTAATTTAACATTAAAAAAATGTTATTTGAAGGCATAAAGCATTTTAAATATAATTAATTATTTTAAATTAACTTTTTATTTGGGCCGCTCAGGCCTTAGAAAGTGGGAGAACAGGGCAGGCCTGTCTGACTGTCCCTGGTATGTTGACTTGAGCATTTTATATGCACAAGTTTCTCTTTCTTGTAGAGAAATTTATAAGAGCTAATCAATATAGGTAGATCTGACATTATGCAATAAGATTTTTATTTTTAAAAAAATTTTTTGGAGAGGTTTTTGCTATAGGCATGTGCGCTAACCAGAAAGACAGAGAGACAGAAAGACAGAAAGTGAAAAATCACCCCCCCCCAGGGGGGATGGCCACGCCGCAATCCCTTCTCCATTCTCCTCTCCGGATCTTGGGTATGCATGCACACGCGCCTGGTGTGAGTTTAAGCCACCGGGTCTGGGTCTCAAACCGTGCTTGACTCGTTAGGAGTCCAGTGATGTAACCATTATGCCATCTGCTGGCCCCTTCAATAAGATTTTTAAATAAAAGCTATTTTAGGGCCAGATGGCAGCAGAGAGGTAAGAGCGTGGTGCTGAGTGACTGACCCACAAGGAAAGACCTGCATTTGCGTCCAGAGACTCCCTGTCTGCTCCGTGTCCCTGCGTGTCCGTGGCCTGGGCCGGCCGGGATGGGTATGTTGTAGCGGGGCTGTGTTGGAGATGCCCGAGGAGGGGCTGTAGGGGGGCTGTGTTGGAGATGCCTGAGATGCCCGAGGAGGGGCTGTAGTGGCGCTGTGTTGGAGATGCCCGTGTCTCTGTCTCTGACTCCACCTCTCTTGCTCATGGAAGAATGAATAAATCAACTTAAACAATTTTAAATTATAAATTATATTTGGTTCCATAATAAAATACGTATTAATTGAAGATGTGCTGAATTAAGAGACATAAAAAGGAACAGAAAGCGTGAGCAGGCCCAGCACTCTGGGATGTTTGGACACCCTTCAGATGGTGTGTTCTTGTGTCTGCGTCTTCTGGCCGGTCACAGGAAGAAGATGGGGCAGTGGTTGAGTGCTGGGTATTGGAGCTGGAGCCCACGTGGCTGGCTGGGGTTTGAGTTCCAGCCCTGGTGCCTGACGCTCCTTGCTGTCACATACACACGGAGTCTGCCCGATTCGTGTCTGCCGGTCTGCTCTTCTCCCCATAGCAGACCTCATTCATTCTGTAGAAACAGTGACGCTTTCTTCAATAGCAAAGGCAGCTCTCAGTGCCAGAAACCCCGTGAGCGTGGGCTGCCACCTTCTCTCACTGAGGCGGGCGTGACAGCCGCAGCTCAGACCGGGTTTGCTGTCTGAACTAGTTGCTCGCCGGACAGGGCGTGTGGCTGAAGGACCCACTGCCTGCCCACGCATGTGAGGGGGGGACGTTGCCTGAGCAAGGGACCGCCATGCCGGCACCCATGCTGGGCTGCGTGTCCTGGGCTGCGTGTGGCAGTGAAGGTGCGGGCAGGTCGGACGAGGGCAGGGCCGCGGGCAGGGCCCTCAGCGGCGGAGCTATGATGCCGAGGTCAGATCCGTCTTCGCCGCGCTGGTGTGGACCACGTACGTTCTCTGTGTGCACTGTGGTGGTTGCCCGGGAGGTGAGTCCTGTGTGCTGACGGGTCTTGGGCTTGCGGGCCTGAGCTGTGGTCTCCTCCGCAGGCTTCATACCTGTGTGCAGCCTCGGCGTGGGCCAGGTGGGCAGGATGAACTTCGGGAAGGACGTCAGCACCCTCAAGTACTTCACCGTCTGCGGCTTACAGGAGGGCTACGAGCCCTTCGCTGTCAACACCAACAGGGACGTCACCATGTGGCTGAGCAAGCGGCTGCCTCAGTTCCTCCAAGTCCCCTCGAACCACGAGCATATTGAGGTCAGCCTCTGCTCCCGCGTGCCAGCTGTCTCCCAGGCCGGGGAAGGCGCCTGCGTGCTTCATCCTGCTCGGGCAGTTATGCACCCTCCCCGCAGGGACCCTGTTCTGTTGCGAAGCCGTGGGGGCTCAGTGAGGGCCCAGCCTCCGGGTGGGCACCCTGAGGAGCTTGCCAGGCTGCGAGTAACTGCCTCTGCGGCCGTAGCAGAGCCGCCACGGCGCTCCTTACTAGAAGCAGAGCTCCACGGTCCTGTCTGACACGGTGCTCTGTTTAGCTGGCCCTTGCAAGCTGTCGCCATGTGACAGCCACGTGTGTGCCCTGGAGCCCCCGTGAGCACTGCTCGTCCTGAGCCGGGCGGGGGTGATGCGGCGCCAGTGTCAACTGCTGCTTCTTGGCCCCCAGGTGACCAGGATCGATGGTACTGTGGACAGCTCCCCGTGTCTGAAGGTCACCCAGAAGTCCTTTGGCTCCCAGAACAGCAGCCCTGACATCATGTTTTATCGCCTGAGCATGCCCATCGAGTGTGCCGAGGTCTTCTCCAAGACTGTGGTTGGGGGGCTGCCTGGCACTGGGCTCTTTGGGCCCAAGAACGACCTGGAGGACTATGACGCAGACTCTGACTTCGAGGTCCTAATGAAGACGGCTCACGGTCACCTGGCGTCTGACCGTGCGGACAAGGACAGAGATGCCGCCAAGCTGGAGGTCAACAACCACAAGGACTGTGCGCAGGAGAAGCCCTCTCGTCTGAGGCAAAGGTCACTACGCAGGCCGCACGGTTTCACATGCCGAGTGGCTGTGGGGCAGGAGAGGGAGGCGCGTCCAGTGCTCAGCTGTCCCTCCTCCCCCGTCCTGTGTGAAGGATCACTTCTTCAGGGCACAGGACAGCCCGGAGGGCATCTCGGTCGTTAGGGCCGTGACGTCTCTCCAGGTCGTCTTGAAGCCGTCTGTCTCAGCGTCCCCCCTGCTCGGACTTGGGGTGTCGGGGTTGCCGTGGTGCTGGCAGTTCCGGTCGGCAGGCCGCTGACTGACTGCAGGCCACCCCGGGCCTTGGAGGACGTCTGGTTAGTGGGTCCTGGACCTCTCTACTAGATGCCACAGGGACGGCCAGGCTCCCTGATACACAGCAGCCCCGAGCAGAACTGCAGCTGCAGGCCGTCCCTGGCTCCTCGCATTTGAGGGTTTGCTGCTCACCTAGTCCTCTCCCACATTTCAGGTTTTTGCTCAGAAGAACGAAGCCAGATTACAGCGCGAGCCACTCGGCGAGACTCACTGAAGACGTCCTTGCTGACGGCCGGGATGACTACGACTACCTGATGCAGGCGTCCACGGTAGGGCCCGCGCTGCCCTTCCCACCTGCCGCGGTCACACCGCGTGTCTCGGGCTCACGGGCAGACCAGAAGGAGCAGCATTGCTCTTAAAGTCATTTGCTTCTATTTTTACATATGTGAGGGACTTCAAATAGTTTGTGGGCACTCCCCGTGTGAAAGCGGCATTGCACGTTAGGTAGGGACTATTTGCAGAGTCGCATGGCGGCGTCGGACACGGGAAGGCCGAGCGGGCACCGAGGGCGGGCGGGCG